GAATACCTCATATCCAGACCTTGTGTATATAATAACAAGAATTATTCAGACCTCGGTCTATGTTATCCGCCTCAGCTTCGCTTCGGCAGATAACATTGCCTCGGTCTGAATAATTCTTGATATCATGCTCAGCCTCATCCAATAATTGCTTATTATTGTTTTAGGTGGAATTTTTAAAAAAGAAAGATGGTGAAGATGGTGAAGGAAATGATGAAGCAGATAATAAAACAGGTTCATACTTCAAGTATTTGCATTTATGTAAGCCGAAGCACGAGTAATTAATACGCCGTTTTTTGCATATTTCAGACACATCCAGAAATATGCTCCCGATTTTAAATATTAATATCTCCGTGAATTTTTAAGTGAAATACAACTGTAATATATCAAAATCTAAGTTAGTCCTTCCTCTATTTGATGCAGGTTATTTCTCTTTAAAAGGTTTACTTACTTAGAAGTTATTACGAATCAAACCGGAGTACTTTTTTTGGGGACAACCGGTAGATGTGTACAGAACGACCTCTCTAATACGGACACTGAAAGGAGACAGCAAAATGTCCGTATTAGAGAGATGTGCGTTTAAAACTGACGAGGAAGACTAGTGTGCGTTTATAATACGTCATCTGGTGGAAGTAGATACTGTCTGTAATAGAGGTCTCCTTAAGGAGAGGTTCGATATTGTATTGACGATATCAATAGAAACATGTCATCAAAAGGTAAGCGCAGTACAACTAAAGTAGGTTAATTAAAACGCAGTTGTGGACGGATGCACGGGCTTAGGTTGTAATGGTTAGCTCAATAATTATGGTAACTCTATTTTGAAGCTAACCTAATGATGATGAAATATCATAAATATTCACGGCGTTGTTGATTAGCTTTCGTTCCTTCCACTCGGGTGTGTTATTTTCTTCATTGTCCAGTATCGTTGTCGATGAGCCATCACTTGTTGGCAGTATTTGCGGGTGTCCTATGATATCCACACAATCTATATTTGGAAAGAGTTCTTCATCAACTTATTATCACGATTGTTATTAATAATAATACTAAGAAAACAATTGATTAATTAATTAGATAGTTGACTGATTGAATAGTTGGTTTTTCTATGATTGGTTTATTGATCTATGATTACCTGATTAAATAATTAATAGAGTTATTGATTAGTGAATGAAATTAAATTATTACAGATGTAAATTTGTATTTACTTCTTTTTCTTACCTATCTGCATGAAATCCATGATAGCCTTAAACTGAGTCCGACTGCTATTAGATAACGGTATAGAAGTAGTTTCATCTTCAGATCTCTTTGAATAAACTTTATGCTCTACAGGCTTACGAACTATGAACTCTATAGAATATCTACAGTTCTTAGTATTAACAGCCTTGATTGTATAAACTCCAAACTGTTCTTTCAGTATATTGTCTATAGTCAACACGTAGATTATATCTTGATAATGATGGTGATGATAGTGGTGTTGTCGTGATGGATGGTGGTGTTGTGATGATGGTCGTGATGGTAATAATGATAATGATGGTGATGATTGGTGGTGTTGTCATGATGGTTGGTGGTGTTGTGATAATGATGGTGATGATAATGATGGTGATGTAGTAGTGTTGTCGTGATGGATGGTGGTGGTGTTGTGATGATGGTAGTGATGGTAATAATGATGGTGATGATAATGATGGTGATGATAATGATGATAATTATGGTGATGATAATGATGGTGATGATAGTAGTGTTGTTAAATCTCCAATGTGGGTGGTGGGACAAGAGAAGTGGGAAAGTAAATTTTTGATTATGTTGAAAAGATCGATTCTGGACATTGATATATTGCAATCGCATGGATTATAGACATTATTGATATTGCATTTGCAATCCAAATTTCTAACCTGTGACAAACACCCTCGCTTCTGCTGTCTTTTTACCATGTTTCCAATCTACTTTCACAAATACGAAAACAGCTCGACTCACGTGCACAACTCTTCCGTTGCCACTGATCTTTATAAAAGTTGTTTTGAGTGTCACTACTGTGGGAGTTTGATGCTTCGTAAACGCATAGGACCACTCGATGTCTTGACTCAAAACTTCAAAATCTCCGTGCGTTGTGAGACGAATTTTGCCTGGTTACGTAATGAAATATCTCACATTTAATAATTGTCTTAAGGTGATTCATCAGGTTTGGATTGCGCACTTTTACTGCGTATATTTAATAACAAATTCTAGCTAATATATGTAGTCGAACTGCAATGTAAAGTGATAAAGAAAGAGAAAGGGCAAAAGGGAAAAAATCTCTCTGCATTGATTAGGTGTGCTTCAGGAAATATGCCCTGACAGAGCTCTGGCTAAGGCTCCCTGTGCAACAAACACTAAACCACATCACGTTGCACTTGTATTTCTTTAGCCGTGTTTACATTACGAGCCTAAGCCTGGTCTGGGCCTACCTTTGGACTCGATTTTTGTTGTGTAAACGCACTTCGGTCTGGTCTAGGCCAGGGAATCTGGGCCCATCAGAACAGGTGGCCTAGATTTTCTGGCCTAGACCAACCCGAAGTGCGTTTACACTGCAAAAATCTAGTTCAAAACTTTCAAAGCTAGGCTTAGGCTCGTAGAATAAACACGGCTTTTTAGACCCTACTTGTTTATTTATTTTTTTCTATACATTTTAGATGTTATGTCAGAAAATAAGAGGAATATTATTTGTACAATTACTTGAAATTTTAACAATTTATTGAGAATTCTGCAGTAACAACATTTAGTATTTTTGCACAAGTGAACATAACAAATCCTACAAGTTGATTGGTCAGATTTGACGTATTTAAGCTGCTATATTCATCTAATATAACAAAACCGAAATTTACAAAATGGCGGCTAACTGTTTCGTGGAAGTTACTGATAAAGAAATAAGCGAAATTAAAATAAATTCAGTCCCAAGAAACACAAAAGACTTGTGTAAAAATACTAAAAAAATTATTTGCCTCAGGCTCAGTAATTATTGGGGAATATTCACCTCGACTTCGTCTCGTTGAATATTCCCCCGATAATCACCTCGCCTTCAGCGAATAATTGTTAACACATTGTAGTATTAAATAGCTAGATACAACTCATACAAGCTCAAGACAGACATAGTGTACAATACAAGAGTAGAAGACACAAACAGACAAAATAAAGCAGGAACGGGACACAAAGTCCCATGACCGTATAACATTACAATATAAAACTATGCAAAACAATACAAACATCAATTGAACTTATAATATTTTATATTTTTCGCGCATGCGTCACAAAATAACATGTGTGAAAAGATGGGAGAAGACATCTTTGCACCACGACAATACACGTCAATGGTTTTTGATTCGCTAAAATACCATGTTTTCTTGTATATAATGACTAGATAGATATTTTTAGTAAGATCTTAGTTAAAAAAATCAGTAACGGTTAAGCAATTGTGATTGTTCCTGTAACTCGTAAAACGGTCAAGATGGCGCCATATTGGGGGGGGGGGGGCGAGTTTGGTGCCCCCAACTTTTTTCTGTTTTACTCTGAGCGTTTCATGAATTCATGCACCCCTGGTAAGTTCAGCAAATTCTCATTTCCAGAACAATTACTGATGAATCACCTCAAGGTACTTTAAAATAATTGTCGTTTAGTTAACGTGGATAATCGTGGAAGAATGTTGATAAAATAAGACGTAAAAAGTACAAACCTTCCTCAAATTCACATATATGGACACTGAGCGGACTGAGAGAGATAGTAAGTGGTTTGCGCACTTCTATATCAAGCATCTGGGAGTATGTTCCCAACTCGACAGTCGGATCAGCTTCTTCAAAATGATACATGAAGAAATACTTTCCGCTGTACTCTCGTTTCACTTTTGTGCCAAGTTGAAGTTCTGATAACTTTGGAACACGTTGAACTTTATTTGTCCATTCCTAAATAGGTGATCAAAAAATGTTAGAAAGAAATGCGTGCTATGAAAGCTCAATTGCTATGATAACTGCATGATAACTCTATTGCATGGTGTAAGAAATATTTCTTCCGTGCTGTGTTCAATGAATTTCATGGCAATCAGGGGTGGAAGTCACATCTCCTCTTTAGCTCAATTCGTGCTAAGTTAGCAAAGTGTTACGATGAAATTTTCTCTTTTAAAACATTCGCACTGTAAACAATTTTATTAAATTTTATCAAAGTTGTGGAATATAGTGCTTTATTGCGATATGAAATAAAAAAGATAGGTGACCGACTTCATTTTTCATATTTTTATTTTGTGGCTAAAATAAGCAGATTTTAAACCTTCGCTATGTTCCATGGCAACAGTGACATTGTCAAAACCAAGCTCTAAATATTTCACTGATGTTAGATATTGCCTCCAAGTAGAATAAGCCTGTTCTGCAGAGATGTCGGGCAAATAGGGACAACTGTACGGATTAAGATGTTAAGAAAGAGAAGAAAATTGAATAAATGAAATTCAGAAGTATCACGTGGTTGTCATAGCAACACACTTTTCATCAGGTTTCTCTGTCGTATTTGTATAATTCTTTCCTCCCAACACAATGGAAAGGATTTTTGTGATTTCCATCGATTATTATCGTTCTTATAGGTGCTGTGGTAAATATAAAGCAATGAGGTAAATCAAACTTTCCTTCCAAAGTATCTACAGCAGACATTTCTAAAATAAGAAAAAAGAGACCTGGTAACTAGAGCGATGTCAACCACGTAAACGTTCCGAAATGTTTGCTTAGGTTCACTCACTTACTGGGTCGAATTTCATTTAATTTCGTTGAATCACTTCTGAGATATTAGACTTTCCTATTTTTCCTACCATCTTAATCATAATCAGTGACGTCATACACAAAATGTGAATAAATTAACGAGATGAGCTCTGTGATAATTTGTTGGGGTCATTCTTCATAATTATTCTTGGTTCGATACTTATTAGTTAGTTCCAAACTTTATTAATTCATTAATTAAGTTGCCGCGGCTTGTGTTTGAACTATACTGCCTGTAAAGATATTAAAAGCACTTTGAAGTTTCGACCGAGGCCCTTCCTCAAAGAACCGACAGCAGCGAGTACGACTACGTAGTCACATAGTAAGGAACGACACTACAGGCTGATTTCCACTGCTGCGTTTTTCGTACGCACGTACACGCACGTAAAACATTGAATCCTATTTTTTAAATATTTTACAAGTAAGTTAACAAATGCATACTAAAACTTTCGGAACACTAAATTCTGATGCTTTATTTTTTTTGTTTATTTCATAAGTATCATTTACACGGATTTAAAGTTTTACGTGCGTATACGTACGTATGAAAAACGCAACAGTGGAAATCAGCCTTAACCTTGCAGCTAGCTATTCAAAAACAGCAATGACACTCAAGAAAAGCTCAGATTGAACCTCCACTCATTGAGTGTGAGTGAGCTTTTTAGAATGTAGGCGTAAATATCATACAAGTTATAATCCCTACAATATGAGGAACTATGAGGAACAACACACGAAGTGCAACAACTTTCTTCGTTTTTAAAAAAATGGTCTTGAGAACTACAAGATTTCTCCAAAATGTCGTACTCAGACCAGAGTGACGGCTACAACGTTTTCGCGTCAGTATGGGATGGTGTAAGCATATGGCGTGCGTTTCGCGCAAAAATGACGAATCTCGTAGTCGCTGTTACGTCCAGACGACCTGGCCTTCGTTCCGAACATCGATTTAAAAGTGCACATGACATGAAACTTTCTCCCAATTTTTTATGCATTACTTGAAAATCTATAAGTCATCACTATCTTACCTTCACTATATCATTCTTAGTCTTATCGATTGGCAAAATCTTCATCCCGCTTTCCAAATGAATACCAAACACATAGTACTTAATGATGGCTTTAGTTCCTTCGATAAACACAAACTTTCTAGGCTCTTTCGAACTCTGTGTATCAATAATAATCTCCCCATCCTCATTGTAAAATAAGAACCACACAAGACGTACTGTACATTGTCGAATACGGCACCTTTAAAAAACATTGCATAATGGCTTTTACGAAGCACAAACAAACAAACAAACAAACAAACAAACAAACAAACAAACAAACAAACAAACAAACAAACAAACAAACAAACAAACAAACAAACAAACAAACAAACAAACAAACAAACAAACAAACAAACAAACAAACAAACAAACAAACAAACAAACAAACAAACAAACAAACAACAAACAAACAAACAACAAACAACAACAAACAAACAAACAAACAAACAAACAATTTACACGCAGCGTGTAAATGTAGCTTTAGGTAGTATTCTACAGCTTTAGGCTTTACACGCAGCGTGTAAACATAGCTTTAGGCAGTATTCTACAGCTTTAGGCTTTACACACAGCGTGTAAACATAGCTTTAGGCAGTATTCTACAGCTTTAGGCTTTACACACAGCGTGTAAACATAGCTTTAGGCAGTATTCTACAGCTTTAGGCTTTACACGCAGCGTGTAAACATAGCTTTAGGCAGTATTCTACAGCTTTAGGCTTTACTTACACGCAGCGTGCGTTGAACTATAGTATCCCAAAGGTCGCGGGTTCGATTCCCACCGTGGTCAGGCTAAGTTTTGAGTCTGCCCGGTGTGGATATACACTCAGAGTAACATCAACAACATTATATTCACCTGAGTACATACAATCAAAAGTCAAAACACACACAAAAAATCACGTCTGAATGTCGCCGACTGACTAGATTTCCCATTTTGATTAAATTGCCGATTTTTTCCTTGCATATTTTGTTTAGCATAATCTTGGGCAAAGCCAGGATAAGCAGATCAGAAAAATCTCAGAGTTAAAGGAGGTATAGTAGTATCATGCTGTTGTTTCTCAAATTATACATGACTGTTGTTATGCAAAACTATATGTATTTCTGCTTTTTTTGCAGACCATTGAACTTGAGAAGAAAGCAAAAATGCACATTGCAGATTCACTTCGCGTTGCTGTGGAGGAAAAGGATGATCTTATTAACGTGTTGAAAACACAGGTAATGACAAGTAGATCAAACAAATAAGTGAAATAACAAGTAGGTCTAACAAATATATAAATTTACACTCGAAAACCCCCATCTATACAATTGGTTATATTGTGTGTGGATGCCCCCCCCCCCAACCCCCTGATATTGTCAAGTACAGTAGGACCACACTGTCACATTTATTTTGTTCAACAACTTGACATTTTCCCACCATTGACTTAAATATGCTGTCTTATTGTTTTAGGTGGAATTTTTAAAAAAGAAAGATGGTGAAGATGGTGAAGGAAATGATGAAGCAGATAATAAAACAGGTTCATACTTCAAGTATTTGCATTTATGTAAGCCGAAGCACGAGTAATTATTTCTGCCAATCAAGGTTTTCTGCTAATCAATCTTTCTTTCGCGAAAGCATAAGTCAAATCGTCTGCAAACATACAGGCAATCCAAGATAAACAGTATGCAAAGAAATCCCAGCGTTCGTACGCTGTAACTCATTCAGGTCATCAATGAAAACCAGTTCACTAATTCAAAGTTTAAGGTTCACTATTTAAGACGAGCGTTTTGAATATTTAAGACGAGCGTTTTGAAGTGTCTTCATACGTAAAGTAGTTTATAAGGGTCGATAAAATGACTTGCTCTTCTTAAGTTGTGGACAGATTTTTATTAAAGCTACTGTATAATTCATAAACCTCTTGATGTGTAAATTTATGAATATCGTACTACAATATATTTATCTCAGAACCATCCGCAGAGATATGAAAAACTAATTTCATATTACTGTCGTTCCAATTGAAGTGTTGCTCAAATATTGATTCAATACATTACTTCGGGCTGACCAATTCATTTGATCAAGTTCCTCGAGATATTCATACACTTCCTGTGAAAGAGCCAATTCCAAGTATTTGATCATTTCTGGTCACTTCCTTTCTATTTATGATTGGTTAGTTGCACAAACAACAAAGGTGATTGGTGCATTCAAACTATTCAACAGGAAGTTTACAATTATACTAGGAAGTGTATGAATATCTCGAGGAACTTGATCAAATGAATTGGTCAGCCCGAGGTAATGTATTGAATCAATATTTGAGCAACACTTCAATTGGAACGACTGTAAGTTCTTTGTATGTTTGCATGGCGATAAATTTACGTGATGTTTCCACAAACAAAACTATTATATAATTTCCTATTATTCTGTCACTGCAATAGACCAACGAAAAGTTCGTTGTCTCGAGCGGGAATCGAACTCGCATCTTTGAGAGTGTAAACCGCCGCTCTACCCATAGCAAGTCTTTCCACTGAAACACTGCGCATCCTCGAAGATAAGCGTTAAATCGTCGAGAAAATATTTCGGGCACTTAAATTGGATAAGACTACTGTAGCTCGCTACCAATCCCCGTTGCCTCAATAGCTCAATGGATATAGAGCGGCGGTCTAGATACCCGAAGATATGAGTTTGAATCCTGCTCGAGTCAACGAATTTTTCGTTGTTCTCTGCAGTATCAGAATAATATGAAACAATATATTTAATTTTAAGATTCTTTGTCTGATGACGTGAAAAAAAAGTTAGTTGACAAGGTTAGTACTAGAATTCTTCGATCTAGTCAATAAACATGTACAATATTTCAGGCACCCCTGTCAAGAGGGTTTTGATCTCATTCTTATACACGTAGATAAAATCACTGGAGAGTACTGTTGATGCCCAGGTTCAGGAAATTGAAAGACTGAAGGTAATATTATATTGATTATAAAATATGCTGAACATCAGACAATATATTTGTGTGGATTACTTAATTTGGATTCTGGACTCCAAACCCTCCCCGAATGTATATTGTTGACGCACATTAGATAGCATAAATTCCACTTAATAGTTTAAAAAATACTAGAGAATACAGCATCTTGCTTCAATGTACAGCTTATGAAGTTAGTGTATACTTCATCTTGTAAACATGTACATCTGAATCTCAGAGTCATACTCCTTGCTGCAGGACAGAATCTTCATGCTGTCATAGTATTGCAATTGAATAAAACAAGACATAAACTGAAGATTATTTACTTTGTGAAAACTTTAGGACCGGTATAAATAAAACAAGAAAGAATTCAAATTCAAATATACAAAATATTACATTTACAGTCTTTAGTATTTACAGTTCACTGATGACATCATCAGACAGAAACATTAATCTTCTTTTAAAAACTCGCATCTTTAATAGCTTTTAATGTAGGTCTAGTGGCAGTGATAAGAAAGCTTTGGGTTGATGCAACTACCTGAAAAATATAAGGAGAACTTCAACGTTTTGAGCGAAGGTCCTTTGTCGTGAAGTTAGTATAGCGTTATTTAAGAAATAGAAAACATTTTCCGTGTTTCTATTTAACAATTAGTCGCCGAAGGCGAGGTGATTACAAGCCTATATTCACTGAGCCGAAGGCGAAGTGAATTTAGGCTTGTAATCACCGAGCCTGAGGCAACTAATTGTTTTAGTATAAATTTCCAGGTGTTTACAAACAATAATCCACACAACTTTATAAAAATTCACTTCAAATAAATTTATTTTCACTATAAATAGTTTGTTTACAAAATTTAAATCTCAGACACAGTTTTTTTCAAATAAAAGCACGTAAAGTTTAATATTTTACCTTGAAATATTTTTAAACCATATTTTGTAGCTTGTTTGGGTTTTTTGGAATGCTATCTTCTTTAATTTTGGCAATTTCCTCCTCTGTTACTACGGCAAAACGAGCAGCCATTTTGAAAAAAAAGCTATAGTCACTGACCAGTGACTATCACTTCAGAGACAATGAATCTTGACCAATCAGAATGCAGAAAAATCCATAGTCACCTGGAAATTTGTACTAAAGAGTTATAGAAACACGCGTGAAAGTTTGGGAGAAACGAGAAATTGCGTGGGAACACGAGCACGAAATGCGAGTGTTTCCACGCAATTTCGAGTTTCTCCCAAACTTTCACAAGTGTTTCTATAAACTCTATAGAAACACGGAAAAAATGTTTTCTATTTCCTTTATTAAATAGCCTTTTAAAAACAATAGGAAAGATAAATTTATTGATTTTAATTGCTTTCATTCAAATATTAATTCCACCTTAAATATACGTTCGTGTAAAGAATAATTTATATAAAAGCATAGCGAAGTAAACAAGTACATCGCTGTCAAAACAACAGACAGCAACTTTTGCTGCTTCGCCTCCTTCCAAAGGCCCTGGGGACGAGGTTGAACAGACAGCACTTAACAGGCTTACTTTACAAAGTATATAATTCACTCAACGTACATGCTTGCATGCGAAGAAAGCACTGTTTTAAATAGTTAGTGAACGTTTAAACATGATTAAAAACTATAGTAAACTTGATTAAAAACGTCGCGAGGAAATTTTTTTTTAAAAAGACAAAGTAAAATTAAAATATCTTACCTTGGTAAACAGTCAAACAGATACAACGTGTGCTATAATTATACTTTGTGCTTTAGGTTTTCGCTTTCTAAGTTAGCAAAGTAACGGTTCTTCGGCGTTTCGGGACGTTTTTCAACTTTTTTCAAAATTAAATATTGTTTGTATTTTGTCTTTTAAACTCCCACGCAACCCCGCGTTAAAATTCCCCGTGTTTCTATCGAGTTATAGAAACACGGTTTTTTTGAGCTTTTGACCAATCAGCGCCCGTGTTTTTAAAAGGCTATTTTATAAAGTAGGCTACTAACGTTAGTACTGTAAGCTACTATTACGAAAGTCACCGAACTGTGGAATCGCATCAAAAATTCGTATCGCCGCCACTCCCACAAACGTCTACGACCGCACCTACATATTTTTGCATGTTTACAATAAATTCTAATTTTAAACAGCCAGTCGACGTTTAATTGTAATTGTTACCAAGAAACGGATTGGCTGTTCAAAATTGGAATTGTAAACATGCAAAAATATGTAGGTGCGGTCGTAGACGTGCGTGGGAGTGGCGGAGATACGAATTTTTGATGCGATTCCACAGTTCGGTGACTTTCGTAATAACTTCTCGACGAAGCGTCTTCGCTCGAAACGTCGAAGTTCTCCTTGTATTTTTTAGGTAGTTGTATACCTATTAATCCAAAGCTTTATTTAGTTTTTACATTCTTCAGTTTATGTTCTGGTTTTACAATATCTTTTTCAAACTGTCAGCTGGCCAGGTCGTATTCAGTTCAATTCCTTGATTTTTTTGTGCAATTTATAATACTACTGTAATTTCTTTGTATCTCCTTCAATTCTTCATTTTGAAGTGTGAATATTCCGAGTCTAATGTTAAATAGGAAAAAGAAACAACAAACGAAGTTAGGCGTCAAGAACTTCTTCGTAACATGGAACGTACACAACACGAAAAACAAACTGCTATTCAAGAGATGATGAAAAATATTGAAAATATTATGGAGGAAAATAATCGATATAACTCTGAAATAAAGAACTTAAACGATGAACTAAAGGCAACGAAAGTACTTTTCGAAGATCTTAAAGTAGAGAAGCAAGGCATCACTCAAAAGATGGATAAAGCTTTAGCGGAACGCGAGCTTATTGGGAAGAAGACTGTTGAAAAATTACGTAATGAGCATCAGGTACTGATTGACTCAATGGTGAAAGAGAACTCAAATATCGTGGATGATTTAAAACGGAGTAAAGTAGAAGCGATTGAGTTGATAAAGAAACAACACGCGAAGCGAATGTCAGACATACTTGCGGCAAAAGATGAAGAACAACATCAAGCACTGGAGGAAAGAGATAGCAAATTGAAAATTATGTCACAAAAAGAAGAAATGTTGAAGGCTTCATATTCAGAAAAGGTGAATACTGTATATTGCCGTACATTAAATACCTTATATAACTACAAAACCCACAATAAGATAAAAGTTCTATTGTAATTTATAACAACAATTGGATAAATTGTCGTCACTGACGAGGGCCTGTCCTTGAAACAGTGTGATTCCTGTGGTTTATATAATTATGATAAATATTTAACTCTTGTCCAGTGAGGCGCAAGAAGACATGAACTTTGACACTTGCTATATCATATAAGGCGTCACTGACCCGAGATAACCATGCATGAAATTTATATGTAATCACCCTGATCAACCGACAAATTAGGAAAATACAATATGAAACATACTCGGAATAATAACATCTTGTGCTTTGAGGTGTATTCAGGAACACCAATCTCCTGCAAATACCCACTGAGCGGTTCCTCGGCGCCGTTAAGCAGGTGTGCGCAGGAGATTACAAGAATAGACCTATCGCGAAACCCGAAAATCAGGTTTTTACCGCACTTCCGGTTGTGCAAAAACGTGAGTTTTGAAATATTCTTGATACAGAGATGCTACATGTTGTTTTATTTGAGACTTGATAGTTGCAATAATTCACGTTTTTGTGAATTCTGCATTAGAAATCTCGTGAAACAACAGGTTTTCAAAACCGGAAGTGGGGTAAAATCGGGCATTTTGGGGGTTTCATGATAGGTCTATACAGGATATGCGCTGTAGATAGCTCAAATCTGGAAGATGCTCCGAGTATGTTGCATACTATAGAATCATTGTAAATTAATAATTTTATTGAAATACATTTTGAAATTCTATAGATCAAATTCCTTTATTCTTGATTGTGATTAAATATGTAACGTCGTTGATTTTTAGAAATAAATCGGTGATTAAAAATAAATCTATAATGAATAGATCGCAGTGATTATTATGTTGATTTATACTTAAGGTGGCATCCTTGCAGTACAATACTCTAAACAGATCTGGAAAAAAAGTCTCAAGATCCTGAGGAATATATCTCAAAAAGATTGAAGAATGTTTTAATTTTTCACACATACGTTATAGTATCTCATGTTTCCTCATCTGTCATTTGAGACAGTCAACTATAGTTTGTTGTTGCATACATAATGAGTAACGTACTGTCAAATTTTCCACCGTTTTTACGTACTTTTCGATTTGAAAAAAGCAAATTCCGGATCTGAGAAACGGTGACACTTTTTCCAGGTCTGAATCGAAATACTCCTGTGTTCGTGGTATTTCTGTTATTGTTTCCATCGTTTGACCCAATTCATTCATTAATCAAGCAGTGGAAACGTACGTGGAACATTGCATAATGAATGATCAGATGTCTTCGGTACTAGCGGATTAAATAATTTGAGAAAGCGCTTTCGTTTTTCTATAAGTGCGACGCATACAATCCCTATGATTTTATTACAAACAATTTTTGTTGAATAAATGACTTTGGTTCATTCTACAATATGTGACGTATTTATTTTTGCACATCATACCAAAACTTGAATTACCTCGCCTTTCCCAAGTAAGTGCGTAGATGAAAACGTGTAAAAAATTTCTTACTTTTGGCATATTTTTCTTTCCAGGTGAAAGAGGCTGAGCTGGCTGTGGAAGAACAAGAGTTACAGAAACATGCCGTTGTTAAACGAAAATTTGAAGAAATGTCGAAACTGGAAGAGCGAATTCAGGAATTAGAAGAGCAACTTGTGGAAAAAGAAACTGTGTCACAAGATCTTGAAAAATCTAGACAAGAATTGATTGGTGAGTCTCAAGTCTGATGAATTGTATTTTTGTTCCTAAGTTGTAGTCTTGAGTAAGATTTATCTCTTAACTTGTTTTGATCAACTACGGGTAAAGATTGATTTATCTTATTGAATTAGTTCTAAAAATAATTGTTTAAATCTTCAATAACCTCTTAAATAACTATCCAACAATGTCTAAATCAATAATGCTAGATGTTCGTGAATGTTGTTTATATAAACTGTATTTCCGCTGACATACCACACAGCAGGCGATACCGGTACAGATAGCCAGTTCATATCGTTACATCTTCCCTTCCAAAAAATAATCAAACAGTCTAAAATTAAGTTTAAAAACTAAATAAAAGTTTATACTGTATATTTAAACTATTTCTGGAGTTGGCTGGCTGGCTGGCTGACTGTTGGCTGGCTAACTGTTACACATGGTTCCTCTGTGGTAGTAGGATGCTGCAATGGCTGCAAAATTCGCAAGACAATTCCCAAAGGTCCTAGAGTTATTAACAGCGTGTATTTACAAAATTATTGACATGCAGTGTTTATTTACAAACAAAATTTCTACAAGGCAAATTGCGGTATCATGTGCCTCTCGGATGCAGTTGTTCCCAAACATAATGAAAACTCACGAATTACAAGATCAGTGGATCCGAACTCCATAAACTTCCAAGTTAGGAAATGTAAAACTTCTACCTACCAACAGACTTATACGATAAGATCAAGAAGAACATGGAACATATTACCAGGATCAATAACCAATAAATCTAACTCTCTAATAACCTTTAAAAATTTCTTAATTAAATATTACTATACCGCATTAGATAGGAATTATAATGTGGATGATCCTCGGTCTTGGAAAAAAAATGCTTGAAATGTAACCAGGCCCGGGACCTAACCAAACCTATTGCATGTTGTTTTTAAATTAGATCTGTATCTATATATACATATATGTGTGTCTATGTGTGTGTGTATGTTTGTGTAACACTGTACTTGTACTTTGGGATCACAGTAATTGGCCTGAAGCTGTTGTGATTTCCTGTCACGTTTGTAATGTTATATCAATATGTAATTTTTGTTATTTGTCATGTATTCTTGTTGTGGCAAAGCTTGTAAAATTAAAAATTAAAATCAATCTTTAACGTGCCCTGCTATGTTGAAGATTGATTTTGTTTGTAAATAATTTTGTGAACAACCTTTGGGAATTGCCTTGCAAATTTCGTGCTGTAATTTATGCAAACACCGAGGATGCATAAAATTAATTTGAAATCATGCAAAAGAAATCGCGTTTGAACTAACAAAATGGGAGAAAATCCAGGTTTTGAAGATCTCGCTATGGTCTGGCCTACGCGTGCACCAAATTTCTTGAAACTCTGATAGCTTGTGCAAGACAGTCATATTTTGACTCTGTGTGATTAAGTTTGTTTCCGATGAAAATTTTTTTGCGCAATTTTTTTGGTGGGTTTTTAGTAACATCTTTCCTACTCTAAAAACGCTAGCATTTTAAATAATTTAGTGCTAGATGTACCAGACAACGTTAAAGTACATAGACTTACTGAACGTTTTCGCAAATGTCGCGCGCATCTAACTTTAGTAAACTTTTTCCAACTGTGTACTTTTTCTGATACACCCTGTATATAACTGAAGTCATTATAGAACCGAGTGTATGACTGAAGTAATTATAGGACCGAGTGTATAACTGAAGTCATTATAGAACCGAGTGTATAACTGAAGTCATTATAGAACCGAGTGTATAGCTGAAGTCATTATAGAACCGAGTGTATAACTGAAGTCATTATAGAACCGAGTGTATAACTGAAGTCATTATAGAACCGAGTGTATAACTGAAGTCATTATAGAACCGAGTGTATGACTGAAGTAATTATAGGACCGAGTGTATAACTGAAGTCATTATAGAACCGAGTGTATAACTGAAGTCATTATAGAACCGAGTGTATAGCTGAAGTCATTATAGAACCGAGTGTATAGCTGAAGTCATTATAGAACCGAGTGTATAACTGAAGTCATTATAGAACCGAGTGTATAACTGAAGTCATTATAGAACCGAGTGTATAGCTGAAGTCATTATAGAACCGAGTGTATAACTGAAGTCATTATAGAACCGAGTGTATAACTGAAGTCATTATAGAACCGAGTGTATAACTGAAGTCATTATAGAACCGAGTGTATAACTGAAGTCATTATAGAACCGAGTGTATAACTGAAGTCATTATAGAACCGAGTGTATAACTGAAGTCATTATAGAACCGAGTGTATAGCTGAAGTCATTATAGAACCGAGTTATAACTGAAGTCATTATAGAACCGAGTGTATAACTGAAGTCATTATAGAACCGAGTGTACAACTGAAGTCATTATAGAACCGAGTGTATAACTGAAGTCATTATAGAACTGAGTGTACAACTGAAGTCATTATAGAACCGAGTGTACAACTGAAGTCATTATAGAACCGAGTGTATAACTGAAGTCATTATAGAACCGAGTGTATAGCTGAAGTCATAGAACCGAGTGTATAACTGAAGTCATTATAGAACCGAGTTATAACTGAAGTCATTATAGAACCGAGTGTATAACTGAAGTCATTAATTATTATTTGTGATGCAAGAATCCTTTCTCTTGTACAGAATCAGAAAAGAAACTGAAAGATGTTGAGGAAAAATACGAGGAATATAAAGTATGTATTGTTGCAGTGTAATAGACTCTACTAATTATTTCTTTCTTGCCCCAATTATGGCCTGGTTTTCTTGTGGTTATTTCTCATGTTTCAATGCACACAGTGGCGCCGCCAGCTCGATATAGAGTGTTGGAGGAAATATATATATATGTATATATTTATGCACACATTTATATGGAGTGTTGGAGAAAATATCTCAAAATCTTGTGCTAGTTGGCATGTAGCCTGCTTGTCAGGCTCTATGCTTGAAATAGAGCCTGCTACTGAAGTCAATGAAAAGTGGATTTATGCGTACGAATCGTACGCAAAATTGGCCGTTATTGTCATATTTTAAATTAGCTTGATAATCTAATTAACGATCGCCGTTTTGATTGGTTATTTGCGTGCATCCAAATCACTGTCCACTTTTTATTGACTTCAGTAGCAGGCTCTATTTCAAGCATAGAGCTAGCCTGCGTAGCAGGCGTTTAGTGCGGGCGGGAGGAAAGGGCGTCGTTAAATAAACGCCTGCCCAAATGCCTATGATTAATTTGTTCTTCTCCGAAGAATCTTCGGAAAAGCTTCCCATTGGTTAATCTCGTTAATAACGGAAGTAATTACGTAACTCAAATGTCAACAACAATTCTGCTCGCGTATCGAATAGCGATAGCCGTATATTTCGAATAAAAAATATGCCTGTTAATGCTTTGGAGGAAACTCTTTCTTATATTTCAAGTATTTAGGCTTCGAAATTCAGTTGAAACCAGAACAGAGAAAGTCTATTATTAGTTTGCTACGTGGTGAAGAACGCCGGTTATCGCGATTCTTCCTACGGGATACGGAGAAGTTTGAGTTTCAATTATACATTTATATCGGCAAATTATTTAATTAAGCTTGCTACATGCTATTTTAATAGCTCTGATCATCTGATGCCAGCACGAGCAGAGATCGAATATTTCTTATAGTTGTTTTGATATTTGTTGAGGCTACATTACTTGGCATTGCAGCTATGAAGTTGGACGATGATTTTATAAAGAATATTAACATTACTTTTGACACGCTCAACTATTAGTGGTTCAGAAGCCTTTTAAAGGATAAAAGCTCTGTGTTGTGACTGTTGTCTAAAATAGCTTCAAAAAGTCATCAATAATTCATGAGGAAAACGCAAAGAAAAATCATAAGCGTGTCGTATCTTTATATGCGATAGAGATTTCCTTGGACATACACAACGAATTTTTTGAAAGTTACTTCTCCAATGAACTTACTAGAATTAAGACATACGCAGTGCGTGTTTTATCAGACTATCTTTATTTCGGATAAAACACTGCTGCTCATGTTTTAAATAGTACATAAAATCTCTGCAAATCTCCCTAGTTGCCGAGCAAACGGTATGCATGATGCTAAATATAAATCTCGACTATGATTGGATAATGGGTGACGGTGCTAATTACTAAACGTCAATCATCCTTAATGGGCGAAAACTAATTTGTCATAGCCACTTGGGCAGGCGTTTCCTCAAACGACGCCCTTTACTAAACGCCTGCTACGCAGGCTAGCATAGAGCCTGACACGCAAGCTAGTAGGCATGAAGCAACGTCGATTAACACCAATGATTTTCTTAAGCTTCCTTTAAAGTAAGACAGTGTAATACTTGGTCTTGTTGTTTCTTGTAGCGAAATCATGAGAATACATTACAGGAACATGGAGAAGAGAAACATAATCTTTCGATTAAAAGCGAAATGTTGGAAAATGAATTAGTGGAAATGAAAGCTGAAATTACGAAGAGGGAAGAAGCAACAGTAGAGCGAGAAACGTTTTGGAAACTGGAAGAAGAAAAACATCAGCAAGAATTACAAAATACAGTGAAGGATATTGAAACGAAGAAACAAAGTGAGCTCGCTGCAGCCTCAAAGAAAAATGAAAATAAAGTTTCAGAAATGAAGAAAATTGTGAAGGAATTACGTACTAAGTTAACAGAGAAAGAAAACCAACTGGAAAAAGTGCAGGAAGAGTTGAAGGATATGGTTTCCAAGAAGGATAAGGAACTGGAGGAGCTGGCAAAAGGAACAGGGACACATAATGCGAAAATGAAAACTTTAATTAAAACTTTAAAAACTAAATTAAACGAGAAGGAGAGTGATGTGAATAATATGAGCTTGCAATTATCCGCGTTGAATGAACAGAAGATAGAAGAACAAAAACAGTTAATGGGAGAACACGAGAAAGTATTAAATGAAAAAGATATAATGTGTAAGGATTTAATGGAGAAACTTGATGAGAAAATGAGCCATTGCGCAGAACTAGAAGGTAACATTGAAAAGCTGAATTCTGATAGCATAAAGAAGTTGTCTGCGTTAAAAGAGACGCATAACAAACAACTGGATGAAGTGAATTCAGATTTTGGAAGAAAATTAAGCGAGCATGGGAAAAGTCTTGAAGAGGAGAGAAATAATCAACAAATCCGGATGTCGAAGGATGCGGAACAAAAAATTAAAGAAATGAAGAAAATCGTGAATGAACTGCGAAACAATCTTGTAGACACAGAAGCTCGCGAGGAAAGTCTTAAGGAAAGTCTGGAGGACGTGAAAAAGAGCTGCAAGGATTTGGAAAAGACTATAAGTGAAAAGGAAGAGGCTTTACAACAATCTGCGTTAAGTTTACAAGATTACGAGGAGAAGGTTTCTGATTTGAAATCTCAGATTACTGCCTTAAACCAGGATCGTGAACAGGCATTCAACGATAAAGAAGCCGAGAAAGTACAATGGATGAAAGAAATGGAAAATAAATTCAATGAACGAATGAAAGAAAAAGACGAATTTTTAAATAATACAATAGAACAGTTAACGAAAGAAAACGAATTAAATGTGGATGTCATTGCTAAAAATTATGACGCTATTAAAGATGAGCAACTCAGATCTTTGCAAGAACGCCATCAGGAACAGATTGCTGAGTTAAGTAATCAACATGAAAGGTCGTTAGCCTTCTCAAGAAAGGAAGCAAATGAATCGTATGAAAGACTGGTGGCGGAAGCCAAGGATAGAGAAGAACAACTTGTAAGGCAAAATGATGAACTTCGAAATACTTTGGAAAAAGTGAAATCTGGATTTGAAGGACAGATTGAAGAATTGATGGATAAAGTTACTGAATTAAGTCGAGATTTAGAATCAAGAAATAGTAAAATCAGTGAATTAGAGGGTTTAGTATCAACACACAAAGAAGAAAAGAGTTCCATTCAACAAAATATGGATGACAAGCTTATGGAACTTATAGAGAACCATCGGCGTGAATTGAACGAGAATGAACGAGAATCTGAGCAAAAGATGGAGGAGATGTCTTCAGAGCATGCAAACCTCCTCCATAATCAGATCTATGAAATGACCAAAACTAAGGAAGAACTGACGGCTAAACTGAGCTGTTTAGAGAAAGATCACGCTGTACAACTCCAAGAAGTTAAGGACGGTCATGATGCCAAGTATCATGAGGTTGTGAAAACGTTACAAGATGAAAATATGCAATTGAAAGAAATCTTAGAAAAAGAACATGTCGAGTCCGAGAAAGAAAGAATAAATCAAACTGACGCATACGAAGCTCTTCAAAAGAAGTTTGATGATGTTACCAGTGAATATGACAAGAGTTGTATTGCTCTTAATAAACTTAGTGATGAGCTGAATATAATTAAATCTGAACGAGACGAGAGGACTACGGCTTGTGGTCGGCTTCAAGATTCGCTCCACGTTGAACAAACAAATCATGCACAGATGGTAGCAGGTTTAAATGAGGAAGTCAACGTCTTAAAAAATGCACAAGATGAGTTACATAAACAATTAGTCGATAGCAAAGAAACAGCGAAGGACATGGAAACAAAATTGAGTGAAATGTGTAATGTTTACACAAAACAGAAAAATGTATTCTCGGAACAGTTTGATTCCAAGTGTTTGGTGGAGAAACAACTTAGTGATCGAAATCGAGAGTTAGAAGATCTATTAAATCGAATTCAGAATGATTCTCAAGTTGAAATAAACTATTTGAAAGAAAATATTTCTTCTCTGGAGGTTAAAATGAATGAAATGGTACAGGAACAACAACGAGAAGTGGATGGTCATAAAAAGACTGCGGTTACTCTGAAGAAGAAAGTTAAAGCATTGTCAGAAGAATGCAAGAAAAAAGATTTAAAATTAGGCGAAGTCACTGATGAATACGAGAAGACGATATTAGAGATCAAACAACGAGAAGAGAGTTTGAAGATGGAGATTGCTTCAAGCCAGCATGATTCTCGATCGATTGACGAACAAATTAAGAAAATTCTAGCGGAGAAACAAGAGCTACAAACACTTTTGACAAACACAGAGGAAATCCACCGTCATAACATACAAGAAGTAGAAACGAAATTACAAGATGCATTAGCTAAGCATGAATGCGACTTGCTAAGCAAACAAGAAGAATTGAATATTAAAATATCTGAACTGGAAAGAGACAAACGAGAGGCATTGGAAAATCTTCAAGAAACACTTGCGGTTGAAAATAGAAAGAAAGTCTTGGAAATGAAGAAGAAAGGAGAAGCTAAAATAGCTAGTGTGAGAAAAGAACTATCGAGTCAACTTGAGGAACAAGGAAAGGAACTTTCTTTAACAAAAGAAAAAAATCAAGATTTAGTCCAACAATTGGAAGAAATGAATGTCACTCATTCAGAAACAGTTCAACAGATGGCTGTAGAACATGAAGTAATAGTGAAGACTAAGGTGGAGGAGGTGCAGTCCCAAAAAGGAGCTATAGAAAATAACACAAAATTGCTGAATGAACAGATTGCACAGCTTGAAGCTGGTGAAAAATCTTTAGTTGAAACTGTTGAAAATCTTCGCGTTGAAAAAATGGATGCGTTACGTGAACAAGCGTTGTCCTTGAAAGAAGATCATACATTGGAAACAGAGAAACTTCAAGTTGAACATAAGAAAAGTTTAGAGGTCTTGGAAAAACGTTTGGTGGCGAAAGTTGAAGAAAAAGATTTCGAATATAATGCTAAATTAAAACAAGTCATTAAAGAATTTCAGGCAAAACTGGCTGACAAGGATCATGAAATCCAAGACACACTCGCACAGACTATCGCAAACAGACAGAAGGAAGAGCAACAATCTGTGCTGAAGTTTGAAGAAGAAATTATTGAATTAAAGAAGGAAATGAAATACCGAGAAGATGAAATGTTACACCTTCGTAAAGAAAACGAGGAACGGTTGAACGAGAAAGAAGGAATGATGGCAGAATTAGTTCGTGAACATGAGAAATCTTTGAAAGACGTTGAGGGAGACTATGAAAGCAAAATTACAGAACTTACTACCAAACATGAGGAGGATTTGAAGAAATTTAAAAATAGCGAACAACTTCTTGAAATTGAGAGAAAGTACGAGGCTGAACTGGCTCAGGCACAGAAAGGACATTCATCGGAATTACTGGCACTTGAAAAGAAACTCAAAAACCAAATGAAGAAGAACCAAACAGATATGAAGAAATTGCTCAACGCGAAAGAAGCAGAGTTTGAAAAGCGAAGAAGTCCTGTGGCTCAAACTAATGTAAGTTTATTGTTTTCATTTTAATGTATACTTAGACTACGTTTACACTGTAGTAGATAGCTTTCCGTAGCGACGTGAAGAAACACCGTTACCGTGCCTTTTAGGAACGCTATTTTCAGAGGAATTATTGCAACAGAGAGATGTTGTTTCGCTCAGCTTCTGAAAGTTGTACATTCCGTGTCGGAAAGTTCTCCTGTATAGTGTTATTAGTGTAAACCTAGCCTTAGCCTGAAAATCGTGAATACACATGATTTAGAGGTGAATATCAATTCCCAGTAAACCAATTTTAATTCATAAATTAAGAATTGTATTACTAACATTAGGGATCGGTCATGAAGTAACTGCTAGGGTGGGCCGGAGTGATTTGGGATGGGCCATGGAAAATCTTTGGACAGTTTCGATGGGCCGCCAATTTTTTTGTATGTCCACGGTTGGGCCACCAAGCAAAAAACCGTGTCTACTTAAAAAAAATAAAGATATTAATAATAAAAGTAAACAAACCTATCCAAATTATCAAATGCAAATGATGCTATTGAAGCCAGTACTTTGTTTTATACAACAACAACAACAACAAGAAGTGGTCGAATCACATCAAATACAACCAACTGGAGAGCAGCTCAGTATCGTAATTGGTGCATATGAATGTGTTGGTCTAGCTTGGTGGAATTATGTATGTTAATACAGTGCCGCCGTGTATATTTACAAACCTGCAAGTTTTTTTTTTATCATAAAAGTGTATTTTCCCAATTTAGATTGGGTGGGTGGATAATGAAATAAATTTGGTAAGATTAGATGGGCTTTGAAATTTTTGTCTACATCCTATAATTGGTCACCAAACTTATTGGCAAAATTTATGATTTACCTCCAGCCCACCCTAGCAACTACTTTATGACCAGTCCCTTACATTGGTTCGCTGAGTCATAGAACTGAAGTCCCTAACTGACGGCATCTATCACTATAAACATGGATCGCCCAAACAATAAGCTTATGATGATCTAAGCAATGAGATATTGTAGCAAAGTGACTGCCTCGTTTGTGCTGGAACAGTGTTGAATTAGAACTAACGTTTGAACTGAACAGATTCTGTCAAGTCTACGTCATCATAGGAGGTTATGGTTTCTCCTCGGTTTGTTTGTTTATGTGTGCTTGTCTGCCAGCAGGATAACTTATCAACAGTTTAAGACAAAAATATGTGAAACTAATGGCCCAAGGACAAATCGTTCGAGTTTGGGTTTAATGGTAATGCAAATTGGATGAGGAATTAGCAAAAGAGTGCGTAATTAGTGCATAACATAACTTGTGTGTGGAATTCTTGACTTTTTGCTGGCGGGGATCTCGGTGTGTCATCAAATTTAGGATTTGTAATATTTTAGAAGATAAGTCATATTATATTTGTTTCCTTTACAGGGGGAAGCCGAAGATGGAAATGAACAAGTGAATGTTCTAAAGGTTTGTTACTCCCTTTATGTAGAAAATATTTTTTAGTGTCGAAGGATTTGTGTTAGTAATGTAAGAAAAAGGTTTTCACAAATTAGAGTGACGTTTTGACAACAGGAAGTGTATATTACGTAATTGAGCCGTTAAAGAGGGCGACAACCGTGCATTGTTTACCGTTCTTGATTCCAAGTAAAACGACGGCATATTTATGGGTTCATCCTATACCGACGTCTGTGACGCTGACAAAAACGTCAACTGCTTAAGCTCTCGACTTTTATTTACCGAAAGTGACGAATATTGATACTGAGATGCAGAGCATCGACCAAATTTTGTCTAAAAAATTGTTTCCTGTAACCTTTCGTTCAAATAAGATTTCACTCTGTTAGTGGCGATGATGTATTTTTGCTATGGACAGGTTGGTGAACATGTCAACTTCGTACGGCATTTAATAGCGATGATACACCTCCGCAACGGACGCTCCATGCACAGGCAGACAAAGCAAATTCCTACAGGCCGGTCCGTCCGTCAACAGATCGAACAACACAATGCACCTCCCAAGAACATAACATTTAAATCTTCATATTTTAATAGAATTGTTAACTTATGCAACTTTATTCTTAGGATAGCACCATCTAGTACATTTCTAACTCTTAATAGCTTTAAAACCTTCTTGTATACTGTAATACTTACAAGGAACTCTTAAGAACAACATTTGATCCGGACCTATCCTGCACTTATTCATTGAGCAGGACGTGTCATTGTCACACCTAATTTATTTAAATTGTAAATATTTAATAGTTTTTATTCTTGTAAGCTTGACTGACACCTTGCATGGGACCTGTCTCGTTCGTGTCCAGCCTTATTTACTTGTACTGAATTAAAGTTGTTAAACTAAGTATTTGCTAAAACTGTTTATTTTACATTTTTAATTTTAGGCGACGATAGAGCGCCTTAACAGAGAAATGGATTTGTTACGCGAAAGAGAGCAACTATTGAAGGTACGGAATTTCATTGTAGATTACAGTATTATGTGGTTAGTAGTGTTATAGATCAAAGAGGCGAAGGAGGCGAGAGGGCAGCCCTCCCCCCCCTCCAATAATATTACGTTGATCAACGTCATGACGTCACTCCGTTGAATATTACGTCAAGACTCCATACTTGGTCAGCTACTGGGTTGATATGACGATTTCACAGTTGGCTGTTAGTTAACCATGAATTATTTTAAGCAATTAATTGTATTTATTATTGTAAAACTGTCTGTACCAGTGTGGGTACCGTAGTACCAACGTGAAAATGCTGTGCTGAGTGGTTATATTACTACCTTAAAAAATAAGCAGAAACTCGACGTTTCGAGCGAAGGCCCTTCGTCAAGAAGAAGGTAGTAATATAACCACTCAGCACAGCATTTATTATTGTAGAATGATGTGGAACATCGTGCTCAGAATGGCCCAGCTCAAACGCCAGAACGACCAACTCAATTAAATGTAACATCAAATCCATTTTCACCTGGTGGTCCAGAAAGTCCCTCATCTAATCCTGGTGAAACGGAATACGAGGTTAGTTTGTAGTTAGCTACTGGTTTGAAGTCATTAGCATGTCCTATAAATTCTGTATGAGTACACATGTAATAGTTTGTGTCGCGCAATAGACCCTGCAACTGATTAATGCTTGTTAATGCCCGGTTCTACCCATTCTGTGTTAATCCTTGTTGACATCATATTGCGATGTAATTAAAGACTATTTTGGGTATTGTACATGTACATAGATGTCGAGTGTAAATCTCATACCTAACCAGGAACAGTTGTGAAAAATGCAACTATAAACCCTCTGGTAGGAATCGAACCTGCGGACCTGCGATTCCAGTGCAGTGCTCGAACCAACTGAGCTACACAGGCCAGCTGTCAAACTGTAACCGCCTATAATATTCTATATTATTTTTTTCAGTACTTAAGAAATATTTTATTCCAATATATGATGGGAAAACAGAGAAAGGTAGGTTGGTTTATTCTCTATATGTCGGCGAAGTATTCACCTGCACATAAAATTAAATTTCTCGTCTTGCCAATGCTGTCATTTGCAACTAACGATGCACAGTCGTAGATGAAAACATTCTCTATTTTTTATGTATTTGTCTTTCATCACCACAACGTCGATGCTTGCGGTGTTAAAGATTTCAATTAGCCAGACCAGTCAAACCGGTTAAACTTGATTGACCGGTCAGATTGAAACCTGTCAATGTTGTTTGACACTATATAAGGTTTCAAGTGAGCATATCCTGCGTTTGAGTCTTTGACGATGGGTATAGACCCCATGGAAAACCTGTAGCCCTCCTTGCAGAAGAGGCCAGACTAACCCTGAACTCCTATCCCTCTTTTAAGCGGGCGCATCTGTGAAGGTACAAGAGATGTACGTTGATAAGGGTTCGATTGTATTCACTCGAGACAATTTGTCTGTGAATTCATGGAGAATAATTTATAATATTTGTTATTTGTCAATTTTAGCAACTTTCCAAAGTCCTTGCTACTATTGTTCGGTTTACACCATCTCAACTTCAACAAATTATGCAGAAAGAACAAGAACGAGATGCGTCACAGGTGAGTACTCCAGTTATGCCATGAGTCCAAAAGGCAATTCTCGGCCTTATACCACCTTCTTCTTAGACTACGTTTACACCAGAGCAAAACTTTTCGGATTCGTAATGAATCTGGGGTGTTTTTATGTCGGATTCGTTTTGCGGTTACACGTATGAATCTGATACAACACGATCACAGATAGAGAACTTTCGAATCCGCAAAAGTTTGTGGGAATCTGCTCTCTCCTGCGCAGAGCCTCCTTAACTTTTTACAAATAACTTACATGAAGTTTCGTGAATAAAAGTGAGCGCGCGCAGGGTTATGGGAAGATTGAAATGAAGGCGAGAAGGCTCTGCCACATAATGCCAAAAAGTATGGCTTTTGAACCAAACTTTTGTTTGACATTTTTTAAACTTGAAATGGGCGGAAATGTGGAAGAAATTGAAATAAATCTTATACTGTAATCTGAGTATCGAAGGTCATTGGAGTCATTTTTATAGAGAAATGTTGCAATTTAGAGGATATTTATAATTAGATAGATTCATATCCACTCATTTCAATTTCTCAATATGTTTCGGTGCAAATGGACAGAAGAAGATATTGGATTAGCCTACGAACAGGCTCTTTGAATTGAATTAGAGCCTGCCGGTTTAGTCAATAAAAATACGTCTGTGCCCATTACTATTTATAGTGTTGTCAATCAAATGTAAAATACACTATTAACAAATTAATACAGACACGCCTTATGTAATAGCCTGCGAATATATGTAAACAAAACACATATCTCGATTTCAACGCATGATTGTTTACAACATTAAAAGCATTTGTCTTTCTTTCGAACAACCCTGAAATTCCCTGAAGTAGCAATAGTAAGTGAATTCACATAAACACTGCAACGACTTGTCAGTTTGAACAACTACGGCGTACTAGAATGCTCAAGAATGCAAATTATAGTCGCCTTTGTCTCAGAGTAAAGATGCTATTGTTGATATAAGAACGTTGCCGTTGTATTTGCCAAACTCTCTTATACAGCAAAAACATCGTTTCCGTCTACTCTGAATATTGTTAACAGCTTTTGACTGTCCATCCTTTAACTTTAAACAAAGATTTAGTTTTCTATACAACTCGTCGCTATACTGTAGAACGATATTTTTCGATTTGAATCTATTGTTGTGTAAATTTAATTACCTTTTATGGCAGTATAATGTAGTTAATTCAATTTCAACCAATGGGAACCCTGCGTCGTTCTAAGCAACGCACAGACGCGTTTTTATTAGCTAGGCCTGCAAGCCTCTCTCAAATTTCAAAGACAGTTCAAAGAGAGCCTGTTCGCAGGCTAATATTGGATTCACTCCAGAAGACTCAAGTACGCCTGAAAAGGAAAGTGGAAAACATGTTTTTACACCCTCGAATTAAGGTTGATATTGAACCGTTCTCCAAACGGAATTTGGCCGCCATATTGATTGCATTAACTTGCAGAGGCTTCCTTAACTTCGCTCTTCCCATCACTCCTTGCGCGCTCACTTTTCCCTCACTACAAACTTCATGTAAGCCTCTGCGGAGGAGAGAGGGGAACCTCGGTATTTGAAAAAAGTATGAATCCGGAAAACTCTCGTTTGAACGTTTCTGCAAAGAATCCGAATCAATTTGTTCCCGCGTATGTTTCCCAAATTTATTTATATAATTTATTTATTTATTAAACTGCCGAGTAGGATCAAAACATCGCATAATATGAGTAACATGCAGGGTTAAATATATGGACAATCGCTGTGTCATGGCTGTGTAGTGTAAACGCCTCACGAATCCGCGTATTCTTGAAAAACAAGGAATGCAGACGTGTTTACGAATCCTTAGAGTTAACCTGTGACCGAGTAATTGCATTTTGCCCCCAGTGGTAGAATATAAGTAACAGTTGCATTTTCAAAGTGGTCTATTGAATATTGATATTGAATGTGCAACACCAAAATAGATGCATGTAAAGTATAATTGTATCAGTTACAATCGTTTAAGGCGCAAGGGAGAACTTTATAATAGTCCTGCCAATTATACAGAAAATTGCGCTTAATTTTCCAGTAACCGCTGTCCAGCTGTTACACAGATTCCCCGACTTCTCTAGAAAGCGCGAATTTTGTTCCCAATTTCCCTGAAAACCATGCTATATTTACCTATATATATAAACATAGTATTTTATACCTTTAACCATGCTATATTGACCTATATATATCGTATTTTTACCTTTCTTAGGGAGGATTTTTTTCACCTTTAAGAAGTTAAGGTAAGCGTGATACGTTTTTAATTCTTCCTGAACTGACACAAGAGGATACGTATTATAACCAATACTGTCACAGTAACATATAGCTTACTTAAAATATTCACTTTTTCCGATGCCATTAATTCGTGAGTGAAATTTTTGTGACGCTTCGTGTGCCACTCGCAGTGTGTGTGTTATGCTTGCTGCCGTTCAATAGAGAGGTTCAGATTTGACTTCCACTACCGCTATGCATCTGATTGGTTAATCGGATATATCAAAGGCATCTGATTGGTTAATCGGATATATCAAAGGCATCTGATTGGTTAATCGGATATATCAAAGGCATCTGATTGGTTAATGGTCCCTTAATGGTAGCGGTAGTGGAATCTGAACCTCACTAATATTGGGCCAAGTACTGTACATCAAAGATAACAATTACATTAGGAAAATTTCAGCAAAGATTCAACGTACAGATGTCTCATGGCGTGTAAATTGTGTCCTGTATAAAAAGAAAGGATGTTTTTGTAAATCTTGTTCAAACGCCCGCTGCATGAAGAATACTTTTCTTTATTAGAAAATGTTAGATTTTGTAAACTCGGAGTTTTTTTGTTTATATTGTATATTGTATGAATGATGCTTGCTTGTTATCATATTAGTTCGTGCACGAGAAAGTAAAACTACTTAGTAAATAAACCCCTTTTTGTCAAACGAGGATGTGCCTTGTGAAGATGTCTCAAAGATGAGGAATCATTCTGTTTTCTTGTGCTGCTGTTTGCTTTGTTTTATTTTATCACTTATTCAGTTTTATTTTGCTTTAATTGTTGTGTTCTTTTGTTTTGTTTTTGCATAAAACAGTTTTTTATAATTTAATTTTTGTAGAATATCCGTTCCTTTGTAATGTATATATAACCATCGATTTTTGTTGGTGGATAATTTGGTCGGTGAGAACTTCATAGGTCTATCATACGTGAACCATCTGTATGTAGGTAGTTGAATAAAAGTAACGTGGTATAAATTACATTTATTTTATATATTCTTAAACATGATCACGGACATTATATTTTTTGAAACACGTATCAATTATATAGTATTACGTAGAACACAATGAAATGCAATGTTGTATTGCTGGCAGTATATGAAAGCATGCGTTCATTGCAAACCATAAATAATTATGCCTTTTTTCGTCTAAACATAAACGTAAATACTTCTCACTACTTCTAAATATTAGTTTTGGCGGACGTTTATATATTCTAGTATGTCAATGTTCTCAATGTGTAAATGTTCTCTAGACTGGATATTCATTACGAACTGCATAAACAACATAGAATACTGTAAAGTTGATCCATGCTGCTCTAGTGCTGAGTATAACAATGTTTTATGTGTAACAATAGAATTGAGAATAAAATTAATGTTGAAATGACAGAAATTATCAATAAACTAAAACGTGTGTAGACTGAAAATCACGAACAAACTTGTCGCAGCCCCGCAAAGCTACTCAGAGATCTGAGTAGTAGATTCTGCATAATTAGTTATGACTGAACTTAATGGATTCTGATTTGCTGCATCGGCTTAATGGATTCTGATTTGCTGCATGGGCTTAATGGATTCTGATTTGCTGCATGGGCTTAATGGATTCTGATTTGCTGCATCGGCTTAGTGGATTCTGATTTGCTGCATGGGCTTAATGGATTGTGATTTGCTGCATCGGCTTAATGGATTCTGATTTGCTGCATGGGCTTAATGGATTGGATTCTGATTTCCTGCATGGGCTTAATGGATTTTGATTTGCTGCATGGGCTTAATGGATTGTGATTTGCTGCATGGGCTTAGTGGATTCTGATTTGCTGCATGGGCTTAATCGATTCTGATTTTAATGGATTCTGATTTGCTGGGCTTAACTATCTACGAACGTTGGACTTTGATTTTCAGAAATAATATTTTCTTGACACCAGACGTTCATTGTAAATTTCACTTTTCTCCATATATGCTTCAAACTGCATGGCGCAGTCTCAGAGCAAGCGCCTTTCACCTCAGAGATCGTGGGTTTGATTCTCGCTACGGACTCATGTGAAAAGAGTCGGTCAACGTTCCGTCGATAGTCCTGGGTGCTCCAGTTTCCTCCCACAGGGAAAGTTGAAAGGGTAGGTTAGGATACACGCGTGAAAACGCTCAGGTTGATGCAATACGGATGAAAACAGGATTGAACAATGTTTTGCTGCCCACATTGTTCATAGCTGTCAACAATATTGAACAATATTGTTACACCCGATTCAGGCTCAACAACATTGTTCAATATTGTTGACAAGTGTGAACAACGTGGGCAGCAAAACATTGTTCAATCCTGTTGAGCAACGGGCTCGGCGTTTTTTGCCGTGTATGTACTTAGGTACACGGCAAAAAACGCCGAGTCCGTTGCCTGCACGCCGCTTGCACGCCGCTTGCAACGAATTGTGATCACGAGGTACACAAATATGTCCTTCGTAATTGACAAAACTGTCACTGACAAAGCGCCTAAAAAAACGGTCGTTTTGCAGTTTACTGGGAACAATAGTAGAACTGAAATAAATCCATTTACTCCTATAGTGCTAGATAGTGGTGATAACCTTTCCAGGCAAACCTTTATTCTGCATGGAGGTTTTCTGGTGGGACTAACCATGAATATGCATGTTCCATTTTCCCTCTATTGGGAATTCCTGGAATTTCTGTGTGAATGCTAAACAGCTGTAATCTTTAATTCCAATCTTAAATACACGTTATTATTAGGAATACAACTACAATGAAAAATACAAGGAGAACTTGGACGTTTGGAACGAAATCCCTCATCGGGAAGTTGGTATAGACTACTAATTAACCAACAAAAGTAATTCACCAAAAGTATTATTAGCACTGATGAAGATCCGGGCTTACAGGTCGGAAAATAAGCATACGTGGTTTTTTCCACAAACCAAGATCAGTATTAACCTGATGTAGTGTATAGGAAAGTATTAGTGAGAATACACCCTTTCAATAATTACGTCATTTGGCCTGGGAGCCTCGCTCTCATGAATCGCCAATCACCTTGCGTAATTTACTAATGCGAGCGAGGCTCCAAGACCAAAAAGTATGTGTGACGTAATTATCGAAAGGGTTATTGGAAAATGTCATCAAACTGATGAATTTTTAATAAAATTAAAATACCACATTAAATAATTTATTTCCTCATCTTAAATCTTGAGCTTGCATGTGAGGTGGAACTTTTAGTCTTGGAGTCCTTTTCGTCATTTATGTTAACATGTTTTACCGTGAGAATAGATATTAAAAATCGTCTCTAAATTATCCGAATACAAGAAACAAATATTAAATCTCAGATGACGAGAAGCGATGCGTGCTGGTTAAGAAGTGCTTGTCGTTGTTCCTTCCTCGACATCAATCTCTTGAAGATTTGCAATAATCGACATCCTTTTAAGAGCTTTGTATAATTGATGTACTTTCACGTCTTTGAAATTCTGGTATGGATCTGTCATGTGGCTGGAAAATAAAGAAACATGTCTACATGAGGTTAATGTTTCTCTCTCTTTGTATTCAACTTACTGGAAAAGTGTCGGAAGAGAATGTTCCCTCAAACATATCTTACAAATCCTTCAAAACTTAGAATTTGCCCATGAAAAATTCCTACTGTGATCAATAAAACTTTGACAATGTAAACCAGCCCTGTTCCCATGGTAACAATGATGATGTTGAACGTTGGGTTGGCGTGCACGTAGATTGTACTCTTCGCTATCTACCGATGCAATATAGCCTACCTGAAAAGTAGAAGAAACTTGGACGTTTCGAATGAAGGCCCTAAGTGTGAACGTTAATTAATTAACTACCATTTGCGGGCCTTCGCTCGAAGCGTCGATGTTTGTTCTCTTCAGTTGCAACATATACGTAGATTATTAACAATGATGTTCATGCATAGTTATGTGTGAACATTACAAAGCTGACATGTCACAAAAGACATAAAGAACACACTGGACTATCGAAGTGCTTGCATTCTGTGATTTAATGCATCCAAGTTTTTGAACAATTATTACTGGAATGCGTTCAACTTGTACAATACAGTTCTGTAGGAAACTGTAAACGAAATGACGCACATATAATCCGTGTTTCTATGACAACAGTAGAGTTTGAATATGACATAAAACCGTCTATTTCGATGGTATTATTGGACAATTTATACAAAATTGTTTTTCAGCAATTTTCCCAATCGTATTAAATTTCCCTGGATACTTAAACAAAATAATATCGTTATCGAGACTTTTCGACCTAATGTGTTTATAACAAAATTATCTTTTTACTTCCAAATGTAAAAATAATACAGTATAATGAATTGCTGTAAACCATCAGTACCTTGCAACATGAATTCTCCTCGGTCTATAACGGTATTTGAAGGTTAGCAGGATAGTAATAAGCACGCTGAACAGAACTAAACCAACACAGAAAAGAATAAGTTGTCTCTCCATGGAGTCTGGCATAAATTGACAAGAATGCTCGAGATGTCACTCATACAAGGTTTTGTCATATATTGACCTACTAAGTTTCCGTCATTGGCAGGAGAATAATTACTGTATGCATTATTTTGTACACCATTAATATCTCATTTTCGTCATTTAGCAGGGCCAATATACTTAATATATAACTATATATAAATATATATAGCCGAAAACGAAAGATTATATAATGCACTAGTGAAATGAGTGATTTTAGATCATTATATATAGGAATTTGAAATCAATCATTTCCATGGTTTAAATATATAACTAAATGTATTAAAATGTATTTTGATTGGACATTACACATTCAAGGTATTGTAGGGTAGTAGAGCAGTGCAAAATGTTTATGTCACCCTTAAACTGTCACTTGATTTGACATTAATCTTATTATGTGGCAAGTATCACTTCCGGTGAAATGGCGGACTGTGATTGGCTGAGAAGCACTTTTACGTAAAAACAAACGCATGCATTTTAAAACAAAACAGCAAAACTAATTGAAAATTTAAAAATTATAAGAATAAAAATTAAAGATATCTGCGAATGAATTTTAGTGGAAAAGAAGGAAAACATTGGTATTTTTTTTTTTCTTCGACCAAATGTGTACCACGATACTAATATGCATTTCAAATTATGCATTTCTTGTTTGTTTCAAGCACAAATGCCTATATAAATGCCATGTAATAAACTTTTTATTAACCTCGGTCTTTTTGTACAAACCTCGCCCTACGAGCTTGGTCTGTACAAAATATAGACTTTATATAGACTCTTCTTGCACCAAGCTAAAGCTAAATTAAACAGGTTTATGAAAATGTAAAGTCTTTTTTTATGGTTTCTTTCCACAAATACCCATCGAAAATGACTGATTTTTTTCATTGTATTGACTTTTTCCGTGTTTACTGGAAATACACAATATGTTTATTTTTACAGTTGTTCAGTTTACTTGGTACATTAATTCAATTTATTTTGTACAGTCTAAATCATAATTGATTGGTATAGGTGTTGTAAATGCTAGAAACATCAACCAAACTATAGGAATTTAGTTGTCATACATTGTTGCTTGTGAAAAATAATGGTTCAGCAATATACAATTGTCACGAAGCAGAAATGAAGTCTGTCGAGTTGAGGGAAATTTATGCAACAATAAGTAAATGATATACAAACTCTATTCCGCAAAATTCGTGTGTTGGAACGTAGATGCATGAAAGCTGAAATACCTCGTGTGCAGTTGCCAATGGTCAACCAGGTGCAAAAAGGTTGTTTAGCCGTCATACTCTGTTAAACGATATTTTTGTTCACTTGTACACATATTCCTCTAAACGATGCCTCAAAGCAAGAAATACCTTTGCTTTGTTTGAAGGGAAGGGGATAACATTTTAAATTTCTCCATTGAGCCTCCTAACGAGGTAATTAAGAAGACAAATTACTTTCTAATTCGTGCAAAGGCCCTGATAAACTATTTGAATTAAAGCGAGAAAATGACCATTAATTCTGAGGTGATCTCAAATCCTGGACAATACGTACGAAAACGTCATTATTATTATTAGGTAGACAAGCTAAGACGGCAAGGATTAAGATAAGCGTTAAGGTTACGGTTATAATATATTGATGTACAATAGACTAGATTTGAAGGGCGTTTTAGTGGAATTGCCAGGTGTAACTTAGGTTAAGTCAGGTTTTTCCCAAGGTGTATTTACAGGCCATGTTACGTCACAAGTGGGCTTACGCAAACTTTATATCTCGAGAGGCAGTAATATTACCCCTCAATATAATCAAACTCATTCTTGCATGGTTGCTATTTCGAATTGATAACCAACATTTTAAACAACTTTTGATCTTTACTCGGTCACTCAATGTTATATTGGGCTAACTCTGAAGAAATCTGCAACAAATATAATACAGAATTGTGTACGTTCTTCAAAATGGGACAAACTAAAGTTTTATTTGCAATGTCCATTGAGCTATTTTGTATTAGACTCTGGCAACAAATATTTTTGTTTTCTCATTTGAAAGAACTTTTAAAGTTATCTATAAAATCTTGTTACAGATTTTTTTTATCAAGCTTACCTCTTGAAATATTCTGACTGAAAGCAGTGGGCTGTCAGCAGCTCATTACTTTCAGACAAAATATTTCAAGACTCAAGCAAGATATGAAAAATCTGTTACAAAATTTTATAAATGATTTGAAATGCGACAATAAACATTCTTTCAAATGAGACAATAAAATTTGGTACACGAGGCGATGTTTGGTAGAACTTGCAACACAACAGTTCCCCTACATTGCAACTTGTGTCACAATAAGAAATGTCGTTGCGAGTTACAGATAAACTTCATGCAATGATGATGGACAAGTTGCAGCATCTAACACCCCAAAAACGAAACAGCTAGACTAGTCTGTAATTAGGAAAAATTCGTTCATAATACAAAACGAAAAATAATCCCAATGCAGGTTCCACTGCGCAGGTCGACCAGTTGCGTTCGTCCGACATCTCACTCTAACCTGAAAATTATTTTTGTCAAAGAAATTGTGTTGCGAGTTGGACGAAAAATTGCCCTGAAAGATGACCTTTAAAAGCATCGCTAAAGGGCCAGTTTGGACTCCCAGAGATCGATTTAGGTAGTTAATGTATTCCGGGATGAAATATTGAATATAACTTTCGTCCATTTCTGTTTTATTATCTCTGCATGATTAGCGATTATGAGTTATGAATAATTTTTTTAGATCTAATTAACGACGCGAACAAAATCACTATTATTAGACCCTTGCTCGCCATTTATTACTTTCTGACGGTTTTGGTATGATGTGTACCAGTACGTTATCCCCAGGCTTCAAGGTAGCGCTGTGTTGTACAACAACATAGTTAGGAACTTTGGAAGACCACGTGACATGCCCTGTAGATTTGACGATGACGTCATAACCGTTAGGATAATGACGTTTTTCATTGAGGTAAATCACGGTTGTGTCACTACGACATTTCTCAGAAATCTGATACATTACACGGAAATGATTAGTATTGTGGTCAAAATTGAGATCTAGGACATGGCCAGCAACTGCTTGCGGATATGTACGGCTTGTGTTGTATATTCGGGCGATAGGGCTTTGTGAAGTGGTTCTTTTGGAGCCATAATACTCCCAGCCAAGCCAAGACTGAAATGTCAAATCAGCATCTCTCATCACTTTAAACATTTCTTCAGCTGACGATTCTGTATGCGTCGCGAATTCTGTCAACATTCCTCCGCATTTGAGTTTCTCTAGATCATGTATACGGACATCAAAGTTGAGATTTGCATTAAAATCAGGCGGAATGTAATAATGATAGCTTAATACACTTCTGTTCTGGTAAGCATCACCCCCTGGAACTTTCTTGAAGCCCACACCGAAATCATCCCATGTTACTGGTTCAAAGAATATACAATGTTTATCGTCCACTGCTCGGATTGCCTTCGCCAACGCATCGTAAGCTGGCGCTAAGTTCCGCTTATCGGCAACAGTTGGTAACAATAATGCAGGATTTCTATAAACATTTCCTGCCCAAGGTTCATTGAGCAACTCATAGCCCATTACATTGGTATGACTTTTAAATGTTTGCGCAGTTTTAACCCAAAACTTTGCCCATTCATCTCGTAAACCATTGACGTTCGTATAGAGATTTTCAAACGACTGTCCTACTGCCTCAGTTAGGTAGTACGTCGCCCACGAAAAACGACTGCAGTCAGCAGAACTCGGTAAATTAGTCGTGGGGTCTAGTTTATAAGGCTCGTGCAAAGGAAATGGAAAGCTCTTAGCAATCTCTGGATCAATGGTCCAGTCAGGGAAACCTTCAACGCAAAAACGATGAGACATCACATCTTGATGCATGTCGAGCAAAATATAAATACCATATTCTTCCGCTTTTGTTACCAAATCAACCATTATCTTCAAATATGTTTCATTAAATTCGCCTTTCTTGGGAACCAATCCAGGCCACATCATGCCAAGACGAACGCCATTCAAGCCTAGGGATTTCATAAATTTCATGTCTTCTTCGGAAAATGTATCTTGTGCAAATCCCTTAGTTTTAGGATGCCATGGAAATTCCTTGATGACGATATTCGTACCATGGATGAGGACTTCACGACCTACTGAGTCCACAAGACGTTGAGTTTCTGGATCAACCGAGATTTGAAGTAAATTAGCGTGAACATGAAATACAAAACTTGCTGCTAGCGCAACACTCAACAACATTTTGCAATGGAAATACAACAACTCTCGCAAACGCATGAATAATGTCATTTACAACATGTCTACGTTACGCAATATTTCTCGTTCTAGAATAAATAGACAGTATGACACCGGTATTTTGCAATGCATATACAAACTTTCGCAATTTGTACGTAATTAGGCAAATATCTTGGAGTGTTCAATTTTATTGCGTGTAAAATATGTATATGTCTTGACATGATTTTTACAAAATAGAAGAAAAGATGGAATGGCCCATGGAATTTTCGAAACATTCAATCTTTCCAAGCTGCCGGTTACTTCCGCGTAAAAGACGAGGACATGTTTGGACCCATCAGAAAATTCAGTCACATGAACATGATATTTAAGCAGATGTGTACATACAGTCAAATAAGTGCAGGGGCGGACACTACTTTGTCTGATGAATAAGGAAATTTAGCCTTACCACAGGGACTGCAATGGGGGTGATTTAAAGCCGGCGCACACTAGAGCTATGTGCTTAGCAAAATGTCATTCGTGACTGTTGGCGTAAGGAGATAGCTCTCGTGTGCGGGCGATTTACGAACGACTTTTGTCATTCGTGCCACTTACGCCAAATATCTAACATGTTTGATAATTTCTGCCTCGCGTGCCAAAATCTTTCCGTGTGCGGCGAACAAAAGCTATCTGCTTACGGATTGTCGTAACAGCGCATGCGTAGTATACGAAAGTAAACATCCAAGATGGCGGCGCAAAATGAATTGCTGGCCGAGGCAATTTTAGAGGACAAACTTGTCGAACTTTGGCCTGAATACAAATGTTTATACGATGTGAGTTCTGCAGATTTTAGAAATAGGGACAAAAGGGAATGTGCGGTGAAAGAAATAGCCAGTAAGTTTGCCCTCTAAAATTGCCTCGGCCAGCAATTCATTTTGCGCCGCCATCTTGGATGTTTACTTTCGTATACTACGCATGCGCTGTTACGACAATCCGTAAGCAGATAGCTTTCGTTCGCCGCACACGGAAAGATTTTGGCACGCGAGGCAGAAATTATCCAACATGTTAGATATTTGGCGTAAGTGGCACGAATGACAAAAGTCGTTCGTAAATCGCCCGCACACGAGAGCTATCTCCTTACGCCAACAGTCACGAATGACATTTTGCTAAGCACATAGCTCTAGTGTGCGCCGGCCTTTAGTTCGAATCTCGCTAGAAATAACAAAATGTTTCGTGAATTATCAGTAAAATCAATGTATTTAATTAACATATTAAATTACAGTTATAAAAGTGGTTAACTATATGACACCTACAAGCACTGGAATGTGCCTGTATTCTACGAAGACTGTATGGCTCCGGCTGTGGTGACCGCAAGACGTAATCAGAACGACTGGAATACCCTCTCACAGTTACACATTTGGATATAGTTGGGTCATGTCACAGTTAATGTGAAACTGCATATAGAAATACTAAATCCATATGTACAGACGAGCAAATTTTTCTTGACAAGCCCCCTTGCATGACAAGTCATGACAAGTTTTCTTCCTTGTGTGTACGGTCCACAAGTTTTCCTTGAAAAGTTATATACTGCTCGTGTGCAGGGAATGTTCTTAAACATTTATCTCTAGATGTATATCTTGTATACACTTGTCAACTTTTCCTTGGGGGTCGCGCCTTGACTAACTTTGGTACAAGACTCCTAATTGGCCATGAAAACTGACAATTTCTGACGGGCGTAAATAAAACAAGTGCCAAATAAGCAAATAAAACCGTACTTGGCAAGGAAAACTGGTCATGGAAAAATTACAAGGATCAAAAATCAATCGGATATATTTTCTATAGTACGTGGGATGTTGTATTTTGGTCTTATATGCTTATATTTGGTGTTATATGCTATTTGCATAAGCTTTGCATAGATTTGACGCATGCACTCATATCAACAAGGATGAGAGTTGAGAAGCAAGAGTTTGTGTGAGAATTTTCTCAACTCTCATGCCTCGGTTAAACGAGAACAAGAGTTGCATGCATGAGAGTTGACTGCATGGATATTACCGCGCCCGCAGATATAGACATTAGAGAGGTTAAGATACCCCGGTGTCGGTGTACGTGTACGAGTAGTGTCATGTTGTTAAACTGATGTCTGTAATTCGATCATACTTTTTCTGTTTTCTTGCAATAGACAATGATATAATGCGAAAAATGTGCACCTTAATTACGAGTAAAGGTACAGACATCGACGAAAATATTGCTAAGCAAAATCATGCTACCCGTCACGTACACGGAAACCGGGGTATCTTAACCTCTCTATTGCCAAAATTTTGCATCTTTCGAATTTTTTTGAATTGAAACGTAGACTTTATATTCATTTCCAAGCATCGCGAACCAGAAAAGTTAGATATTCAGTTAGTTTATCATATTTTACAAATGTAGCAGTTCAACATCTAAACAAAGAGTTTGTTTTGCGAACTTTACAGCATCTTTACACTCTTAAACATTAAACTCTAAGCTTGCAAAGCATACTGGGAGCATCATTTACTCAGTTTAGAAATCATATATGGCTTATGGGGGTCCATTTCTTATAGAGACATGATAAATATCTCCTTACGAGAACAATTCATTCACAAATAGCTGCAATATTCAACTACTATAAACTTGAAACTCCAATTTACTCCCATTAAGTTTTGCGCTCATGTGCTCCATTAAGCTTTGCGCTCTTAGAATTTAACGTTTAACTTTAGAGTTTGCAAAGGACAACCTTTTTTGAATTGACTGCATATAGAGACGGTATGTTTTATTCATTATACCTGCAGGCTGTTCCAGCATTACACCTCTTAAATGTTGTAACGAAAATCTAACGAAGCAACTCGTCTCTAGCAGCCTAGGACTTTGTTGAAGCTGATATTGATCGTATTTGTTTTCTTCTTTTAGTTTAAATAAATACTAAGATATTAAATAAATACTAAGATATTTACAGCACGACCCTTATATATTTAAAACGCGCATATAATTAAAACACGTTGATCACACATCGAGCAATTTTATTTTTGTTTGAGCTAAAAAATATTTCATTCAATCAGTTTTATTTGATCAAGTAATCCGCAGTAAAACCGGGTAAATGCATGCAAATGAATCTGGAAACGGGATCATGCGATGATTCTGTTTGTATATTACCTGTCTCATTTCTAAGGAGCAAAATCGCCTAATATATATAGATATAGGAACTCAGCACAGTATAAAAACATGTTTTTGTCTAAAAACATGTTTTTGTTTTTTGACTTTGTATTTGAATATATCATTAATATATCATTTACCAATAACCCGATGAAATATTTACTATTAACATGGTCACAATTATAATACTGCAGAATTTATTTAGACTACAGACTCCTCATGGTGATGCATTTATTTACAGCATGCAAGAGCCAGTTGTTCAAAAGTCGATTAGCTTAATATATAAAACTATATATAGGATTCAGCACCGTATGTATAAAGCATGTTTTTGTATACATTGTATTTGAAATTATGTATCATTTACTAATAATCCGATGGAATATTTACTATTAACAAGGTCACATTACAGAATTTGTTTAGACTACACTGCACGGCCCCTCCTTCTGGCTTCTGATGAATTTATTTAACCTCTTGCACGAGACCGGTTGTTCAAAAGCCGATAAGCTTCAACCTATATAGGTTAACCTAAAATTCAAAGCAAAACTTGCTAACAGGCTTGTTTATAAATTTGGAAATATTTCTTCGGAAATCTTGTCTGGATCAGTAGAAGTTTTCTTCTCTGAAGTTTTGAAATAAACAGACGTGCCGAGATCCATAAACTAAAACAGCAGGTTCAAGTTTAACCGAGGGTTAGCGCTAATCCAGCTGTGAACAACCGGCCCTGGTGATGTCCAGTTTAATACAGAAAAAATGTCGAGAAACTTGTTACGTGTTTTATCATTGATCCAAATATCAGAAAATGTACTCAATTTTAGTCCTTTAAATAGCTGTTGAAACTTTCATTATTTGACAGTAATGCCATCATGCATGCTTAATTCATGCATTTACCTAATTTGCATAATTATTGTTATTTTAATTTTTTCGAAGCACTGATCTATATTGCTTCGCTAAAGTTTCAGAAGCTCTAGACTTGAAAACCAAACAGTCGAAATTATTTATTACAGAGCGATAGCAATGCCAATGGCACATTCCGTGCCCGAGCTCCGTGTCGTTAATGTCTATATTTTACTTCATTGCCATTCCTTTGTATCATTAATTTTTAATTGATCATATAAAAAAGCTGTTGTGTAAATCGTAGGCTCCCTGATGGTACGGAATGCTTTACTAACTCCGATACAAAAGACCTTGGCTCATAAATAGCACTAAATAAATAACTGATAAGCAAATTACGACTGGAATAGTCTGTCTGGTCGAACTTTTGTGCGCTCAGTGCCATAGACGTCAATGCAAAGCATTCCATAAGAATAACATATTTCTGACAGGAAATATTTTGTCGTTTGTACAGATAAAAGATATATCATATTTTTAGCTTGCTATAAACGCCGCTATAAACGCCGTGCAATTTTGCCGCGATTCTTTTCTTCTGCTGGATGTGAACGAGTTGAGGGTTCATATACTCAGAACATTCACAGCTACTTGTTCGTATCTGTCACAAGAAGGAAATCGCACCAGAAATCGGAGCAAAAATTCCAAATGTAAACGGGCCTTAAGCTAGCCGCGTTCGCCCTCAACCCAAATTTATTAAATGGTGCATGATCATGGGTGCACGCAGGCTAGAATATAACACCTGTGCGTAATATGTGCTCTCGATTTTGCTGATAGCTTGTGAAACGAAATGATTAAAAAAGTGATTTTCGAAGTGATTAAAATGAGAAAATCGAGGGAAACAATTTAAGCAAACCTGGAGAATTGATATTATGCGAATAAAACACGTACCTCATTAGGGCGATTGATTTCTTCTGAATTTTCTTCATGAATTAATAAGTTTTACAAAACGTTTCTGAATACGTTAGGATAAA